CCAAGATCTTGTCGTCCCAAAGAAGCCAAAGAGGGTGGGGCAGAACTGGCGCTGCCTTCTAAGGTATGAAGCTTAATTGAAAGGGGTCCACATAGATACTAAGTCGAATAATTTGTAGTGCTAGATCACGAACTCAGCCGATTGGCCCTAGTATTAGTCTTGATCCGGGCAAATTGGACTGAGGAACGACTAAAAGTCAAAATCCGTCGTTGCATGATGTAAAGTGCCAAGTTTCGCCAAAGACTATCTTCGTTCGTTAAAGGGTATTGGTGAATTTCTCCGACGCGAAGCACCTCATGACCAAAAGCCTTTGCGCGGAGGTGTTGGAAATTGCCAACATATTTTATGTCGAGTAGAACACACAAAAGACTAAGTTGGACTTGAGTTGTGAGAATTACGCTATCCGGATCGTGCAAAGACTCAAAGTTCCCAAAAAGTCTTCGATCACAGCAAATTTTCTCGTGAAGCGTCTAGGCTTTTACCGAGCCTTGATAGACGGTCGACTTAAGGATCCGCGCAGGAACATTATCTACTTCCACATAGGAACTGGCTGAGGGAGGAGGATCAAGAATTCCATCCTAGAGAAGGATGTCTTGATCCGGAGAACTGGTGCCACCAGACCCTTTGCTTAGCCATTCACAGGAGTTTAACGATGAAACGAACAAATACTCCGATTCGGAGGGAAAATGAGCCGCTACCTGAACATCCCTCTCGGTGACGGAACCATGAAGAAAACACTTGGAGCGCTTATTACGGTCGGGAAAATGAATTGGATTCAGTAGCGCCGACCGGAAAACAGGCGCTTGTCCTGTGGGCCATATCGATTAAGAGCGAGCCGTTATCGCTGACTATATCCATCCATGTCACCGGAATGACTGGAGGCCGAGACAGACGGGCCTCACGATTTAGCGCAATGTTTAGGTCGGGCACGTCAGTCATAGAGCCATCGGCTTCCGAGTCGCTTTTATTGTCGAAGGCAGGTGGGGTATTATCATCTTCTAGCAACGGGGAGGTATTTGGAGCTTGACCTTGATGACCGAACCACTCATGTCAAGTAACGCCGCTACAAACGGTGAAACGGTGCGGTTGCACCCACAAAGGATGGTGCACCACAGCAACAAACTGAATTTGGCGAAGCAACGGGCGCCTGTCCAGCATGAATGATGGTGCGGGTGTCCATTGGTCGAGGTACACCCGGCAGTTGCGAGATCAATGACCGGGGATTACTTGAGCCGGTGGAATAACTAGTCACAAACGAGCCCATCTGACAAGTCGTCAGGTGGGCTCCAACGATCAATGCAGAACCATTATAAGTTTGTAAATAATGTTTGTACTTTGAAAGGCGAACGCAGATGGTCACACTTACTCCTTACAATGCGTAAAACCTCCTGATAAGTACACATGAAGCTGATACCGGCGTTACAGATCGCTGTAAATACCAAAAGTGCTCAAAAATCTGCGTCCACAATATGGCTGGGGTCGTCGAGCCCAGCGACACCATGTTTACCGTGTCGAAAAGAGTGGCCGAAAGATCCCAGGCAGACATCTACATCGGAAGACACATCTCAGACAAAAATGTTGAGGCACGCCTGCAATAGCGGTAATACACTTGCCGCATGCATCTCGATCAGGGACCAGTAATGCATTTTCAGCCTTTGCAAAGACAGCGGCAGTTGGGTGAGGAAAATCCACCCAAGTGGAGGCTGTCTGCCAGTAATGACGACATGTCCTAACCCACGTAGGGCTACTTCCCCAGTTCACAGGGAGAGACAGCCTGATGAAAAGAAAGGGAAACTCACATATATGCACACTGTAAAAACTGATAGCGGGATAGTCGAGAAGAGTAAAAATGGGATATTTACCACCTAAGCACCGCAGTAACACCGGGCACTGGGATAGCCGGGAAGGCACGAGATGGGAAGTACAACCTGTGTAACGCAGTAAAGAGTGATATGGGTGGAGACGCAAGAAAAAAATCCCATATCCGATTAAATGATATTGTAAGGTGGAAGATGCAGCTCTAGTGTCAAGGACGACTAAGCAAACATTGGTCGAAAGGTACATCAGTACCCGGACCAAGTAAAGGTCCAGCTTACTTCTAAGTGTTCTTCCTACTTTACGCAAGTTGAACTTTTGAATGACCACGCCCGTTCGACCTAGCGTCTGGGTAAATGTAAGAACTAACACATTTCGATGCTAGTGTCGTGCTCCGAATATAGTTGGGAACAACCTAGTCGATTCTTTTCAGAAATCAATTGGCGCAAGCTCATTTTGTGTAGCAGGGATGAGATTCTAGTGAAAACTTTGGACGCCTAATGTCTAGGTAGCATGAGGGTCGGAGGCGTAAGGCTGAGACGCAGCACGAACCGGATGAGTAGTGAGAGCGAATGCGTGCATGCGAAGGAAGAGCGGATGAGCAAGTGTGGGCTAGTCTTTTTCCACTTGTACGGTATCTGTCAAATTGAGGGGGTCACTTTAGAGCGTTCGCACTCCCAGCCCGCGATATGCAGTATCCGACATATTGTTACAAGCTTTTAGTATATTATTTGGTGCACTTATTTGTCAATTAGTGGTACTACGTATTTTTTTGGTTTACTAAGACGCGAATCTCTTCTTGTGATATGGATGTTTATTTCTTGACCATTTCATGCATTCGTGTGATATGTGTACGATACAGGGATATAGCACACATTTCACACGAATGCATGAAATACCCAGATGGTATTCACTGTCATAACCTTCGACACACTTAGGCTTCGAAGATAGTTTTTACAATAGCTTCGATCGTGGGAAGTGCAGTTTTCCAACTAAGCATTACCATAAAGCTGGGCATCCATTCCTCAATAATCTGCGGTGCACTAGTGATTCCGGAGCGCTTGTCGACGGTGCCATTAGTATGGATGGCTTGTAAAGTCGCCAGCATATGTTAAAAAGTGAACACACTGAGAGTCGGACTCTCCCTAGCATTTTCCTGAAGTGGCACGAGTGTCCGGGTGCGTAGCAGATGCGCCAGGCAGACTCCCTACAAGCCGGACTAGGCCACTGCCTTCCTACAAAATAAAAGAGTAGCTCAACTTTCCACCAGAATCCTTTGTATTCGAAAGTATAGGCTAAAGATGTCCCGCCAAATTGTCCGCGATGTCGAAAAGAGAACTATCTTTGTCGGTCACGATGTCCACGAAACACACTATATTACGACGCCGAGGCAGCATCAGCGTAAACAAATCGCTGGGTAGCTTGGCATCTCGATCGCTTGGAACAGTCAAATGAGACTCTTGTAGAGATTACGCGGAGTGACATAGTATGCGCCGACGAGATTCACCAAATGTGCCGCTGCATCGACAATTGTGGTACGAGAGTGCGTTTATCCGAATGAGAAAGAAGGAGTGCCGATTCACAACTGTTGGGTCACCCGACATGGATTTGTTAGTGCTAGGTATGGACGCAGGTATTTAGGCGTATTTGCTTTGCCAATAACCTCAGTTATATACGATGGGCCGACATTTATTGGATCAAACTTATTTGGTCACATATTGACATATTCAAATGCCTTCCAGATACGTGATGGAGTGTGAGATCAAAGCATCAATCGCAACATCATCATGGCTCTTCCATCCGCGTTGATCCGCTGACGCTTTTTGCACATCGGCGAAGCATGAAATGGCATCGCGCACCAATTGCACATCCGATCGTCGTTGTAGCATTGATGCTTCAACGGTCGCCGACATCGAAAGTCAAGGACTCGGTGCCCGGTATATCATTTTCTTCCTGAGCTGGAACGAGATGAAATGCACGGCGCTTGATATGTCTCCGACCTGGGTACGAACTTGTCGCGTCGGTGACGGTATGAAGCGATATCTCGCGAGTCTTTGCTGTGTTCAGCGACATTTCGGACGTCAGGAGCAATAACTACGCCACACGCATTCATGCTTTGTATGTTGTTTGGATCGGCGGAAGTCATTGCTGCAGCGTCTATCGTTGTAGCCTCATTCAACACCAGAGAACGCAAATTTCGATCTCCAATAAAAGAACAAGAACTCGTCCATCCAAGAAGAGGTAGAGGCCGTGAATGGCGCGCGCCGCTCCCGTTCAAACGATATAGTTTTGTTGACGCTTGACAGCGTTGTTCACGGCGGATAGTGTGATGGGGAGGCACTCTTTCATACTCGAGAACGTGCTGTGCGTGACTACACTGCACATGCTCCAGTGATTAATTGACACGATCTCTTTCGCCGTTCGTTTCGGGTGTGCGGTGGTCGAAATCAGTCGACAAGTCCTGCGGGCCGTGAAGAACACTTCTGTTGCTTTAGGATTCCGGTCCACTCGGATCGTGTCTTGCACGCCACGATATCGGAAGACCATGTAAACGCATGTGCCTCTTCCATTGAGACACACCTCACAACTTCAACGAAAAATGTCGTCTGACTTCTTACAGCCGGTGCTGTGCGATAACGCAGCGCCTTATCAGACGACTACCTACGATCTTGAACAATCGGTGAGAAGAAAGTATCGCGGGGGAGGGGGTAAGCAGTTGCCGTGTCGATACGCCGTGAGTGGACCGTGACTACAATTGTAGTGTCGACATCAAGCGTGGTATGCCGTAGCCCATTCATCCTCCTCCTCGTCTGTAGTAGCCCAAGTAGGGGCGTCTTCGAGCAGGTCATGGCCAGACCTCCGCCACATCGCGTCGGTTGCGGCCGCTGTGAAGCAGTCCGTAGCGGAAATAGCCTGCAGCTCGATGTACTTACTTTTTGTATGCAGCTTTTGGATCAAACCACCAGCGCCAGAAACCGATACCATGAGTGGCAGCGAGGACGAAAACGTACCACCGGCACCTGACGTTGCGCTGAGTGGCAAACGGTGGCGCACTGACGACAACGAAGGTGGGAATGCACATTCGTGTCACAAGTGTCCTCGCGTTCTTCTTTTGTGAGGAGTGTGGGTACGGTGACTGTGGCTGTTTGATCGATTTAGGGTCGCAGCAGAGCATTCTCAAGTGGATGCGTCACGTACCGGGACCGCTGCGGGAAGTCATGCAAAAACGTGCCGACCAGTGCGCTCCGTACATATTGTTGATTGTTGTTGCACTGGTTGAAAGACATGACGTGTTTTTTCGGATCTCGGGTGGCAGGCTAGATAATTCACAGGGGGATCACACACGTATCGCCAGCGCCGACTCCGACCGGTATTCCGTTGCGATCGCAACGGTATTCGACCAGGGACCGTGGGTGGACATGTGCCAGTACTTGGGCTTACCGGCTGTACCAGGGACGCTTTACGGTGTGTGATGGATCGTTTGGCACGATGTTTTTGGATCAGAGGTGTTGCATGACGTGAAATGTTGCGGTTCGTATAGGTAGCATCAAGATGCGTAGCCTCGAGTACACGGTACAAAACGTTGTCGACGACGACGAGGCTCCCGCTAAAGTGCCCCAGGTAGCCTATGCTCCGACGTTGCTCACTCCCTTCGATGCGCTGAGAATACCTCTGCTGCGTATGCTCTTGTTTTGTGTGCTGGGCGTAGCTATTAGTGCTTATCAAGTCCACCCGATACGTTAACGAGGAAATTGTCGCCGTGCTTCACGTACGTATGCACATAAAGATCAGAGTGGCAAGCACATGTGGTCATTTATGTTTGTACATGTGCTTGTTTTGGCAGGACCCGACAGGAGAAGTGGATGGCTACTTTCACCGAGAACTCGTTGAGCATCTCGGTCCAGCTCTTGTTGGTGGTGTGGGCGTTCTACTCTACAAGGTATCAGTATTCACGCCCACTGATGCGCCTGTGACAGGAAGACGAAAGAGCTACTTGAACATCACACCGCGGAATGTGGAGCGCATATTTGTCACGAAAGACTCGTCGAACGCTGTGAAAATAGGGGACATTGTCAATTCGTTTAACAAAGAAAAAGAGGACAAGTCTCAGCACGAGAGCGACCAAGACGACTACGAAGACAATCTCGAATCCAAAAGCGAGCAGGCGACACGGCAGTTACTGCAGCACAGCACAGTCCGCGACACTTCGGCAGAGTTGACGTTCCTTTCGCAGCGACAAGTGGTCCATCGCAATCCACCTGTGCGAGATCCTGCTGTGGTGACAACGGCGAAAGTGACGACAGGGAAGCGCGGAAAAAGTGCTGCAAAACCAGCTCCAGATCACGAAAGCGGGCTTGGAAAGTGGCAGTGGAGCAAATTGCTGAAGAAGAGGACAAGTGGCGATGCCAGTGACGAGCGCGCCGTGGACTCAAGACGTTCGCAAGAGCGTCAGGGCTTCTTGAATGCGAGCTCGCACCTCATGAACCTGATCACGAAGCAAAAGGATCGGAGCAGGTATGTCGTCACGATACCAAGAGCGACAAAAGGTATTTGCCTGGTACGACTGATGTTGTTGTGTTTGCATTGCAGAGACGACAGAGCGAAGCAAGACACAATGGCAGCTGCAGTAAGGGCAACGAAACCTGTTAGTGTGCACTTTGCGTCAGAAACGGAGATTTGCCTGCCGTCTATGCCTCGCGACTCTGACAGGTCCGAAACACCGCCGACCAGTTCATCGTCACAATGTTTGCCAGCCATAGCAGCAGCAGCAGCAGTAGCAGTAGGTGGTCACAGCGAAAAGCACGACAGCAACTATAACTCGGATAGTCAGGACGACGACGATGATTGGTGAATCAGCTGTGCGATTCGCAACAAATCGGGTCTGTGACGTAACTTTTCGGTCGAAATCTCATTTTTCCCTCGCGAGCGCTGTTTTTCCAAATGGCCGCCACGAATGCGATTTGCTGGGAAGAGGACGAAGTCGCCGGCCCCCTCCTGCGCAAGTTACTGGCTACCGACGACCACTCGTCGCTCGAGACACGTGCGTTCCTTCGGCCGATATTCCGCTGGACGAAGATCGGCCTGCACAAAGACGGGACTCGCGAGGACGGAGCTATCGAGCGAGCATTTGCTTTCGTCGAATGGCTCGTGCAGTTGGCCACAGAAGGCGACAAGACGCGGAGCATTCCCAAGTTGCCATCGCTGCAGCCGAGTTATGCGCTCAATACGATTGTCACGGCCAGTCAGCGTGCGGGCAGCGTAAAAGACGCTCAGCGAGCGTTCGACGTGCTGAAGAGACACGGCTACTCGCCGGACGTGTTCACGTACACGGCTTTGATTGACGTTGTTGCAAGGAACGGGGACTTGCCAGCTGCTACGAAGGTTAGCAACGTCGGTTGAGCTGAATATATGGCGAATGGCCTTGTAGGGGAAACTGACCTGGCTTCTTGTGGCAATTGTAGATATACGAGGAGATGCAGCTGTCAACTTCCAAGCCAAACATTGTCACATACACCACGTTGATTCGGGCGGTGGGGTTTAGTGATACTGTTGACACGGAGCAGTGTTTGGTGTTTCTAGCTCACGCACGGGAAAATGGCGCTTTTGACGAGGCTCTTTTTCTAGAAGCTCTGGAAACTTGTGCTAAGAGAAAGGATCGAGCTGTGGCGATTCGGGTGCTTAACGAGATTGCGACGCATGCGCTGGCACTCCGTGTAGACGACCGCTTTTTCGTCACACTGGGCCAGTTTGCGGAGCAAGTGGATCGTGACGGTGTGAAATCTGTGCTCACTGAGTGGGTTGAAAGGGGCTTGATAAGCTTAGAAGAGCGGGACATGGCTGTAAAGCAGCGGCGGGAGGAGTCATCTACCGTTTCGGATGGATCGAAAATGCTGGGCTGTCTTGGACATCAGACGTCTCAGTCGGTCCGAAAAGCCGTAGTTCAGCATGATATCAATCGGCTGATCTCGCGCATCCAAAGCAGATCCATCGTGAATGTGTAAGCCGTTCGCTTTTGTCTCTACTTTATTTGTGGTAGCCAACCTGTTGTTTGTACTGTGCATGAGCAGGAACGACTTCGAGACGCTCATCCATCAATGCAGGAAGCGGAAGTGGAAAGAAGACGTACCGGTCATTGTTGACGCAATGCGCCACCTCGCAACAAGAGGCTGGAAGCCTTCTCGCGATGATAAGGACACTGTCATTCGTTCACCGATATCTCCTCAGCTTCAGCTTGAGCCTACGTCAAAGACCTATGTTGCTGTCGTTGATGCGTACATGTGTTGCGGTGACGAGCCCCTTGGATGGCGCACAATCCAGGAAATTGGGAATTTGCCGAATGTGAAGCGAGAGCTGCCGTTGTACCGCAAATTTGTCCGTGGAGCGTATTTACTCACGAAGTGCGACCATATTGCCGAGTTGATTGCTTTGGCGCATGTAGATAACATCGTGTTCACCCAACGAATGGGTGTCGAAATAGCGCGCATGTTTGGTCACCGCCACGTTGAAGGTTTTCACATTTTGGTGCATGAGCTACCTCTTGGTGAACCAGGGGCAAAGGCCAAAAGGCAAGGCTTTCTCGAGGAGTTGGTGAAGTCTTGTGCATACAAGAAAAACCTCGTTGGGGCAGAGGAAACGCTACAAGCCATGCTGAAGCATGAGTATCAGCGCTCCGCAGCCACCGAAGTTGCGCTCTTCATGTGCTGTATCCAACATGACACACTTGCAGAGGCTCAAGCAATGTTGCAGCATTTTCAAGTAACTTCATTGATGATGCCGGTGCCGGTATACGACTCACTGCTTCGCGAATTTTACTTCAAGTACACTCGTCGCGGGAACGTGTTTGATGAATCATCACGCAAAGTTGCGATGAAAACACTGTATGCACGTCGCGCGGTATTTGAGCACGTTTTCAGAGATCGCGAATGTCTTGAATCTGAGGAAGTCACCGCACAGATCAAAGAGTCCGACAAAGATTCGGCGTGCTTCCGATATTGGTGTTCAAGAGCGAGCTTATCATGTTCACCATTGATGCTTTCTCAGCACGCAGTGCAGGTCCTCACGACCAGGCGAGACAAAGACTCCAAGAATGCAGCCGAGCAATCTATACGGGACGCGCTCATGACCACCCCTGACCCTTGCCTCTTTCTACTGCGGTCGGTCGTTGCTCTGCGCTATTTAGACTTGACTTTTCGGACGCTGGGTAAGCTGGCAAAGCAGTTGCTGGTGGTGGTAACGGACGAGCTATCGATGGAGCAAAGGCATGCGGAATATTGCGTCAGCCAATTGCCGGTGCTATCAGTGCACATTGTGAAGGAATTGGATGACGTCGTGTTTTTGCACCGCACGCATCGACCAAACTTGTTAGCATTTTGCCAGCATGCTATCGAAACTGATAGCATTGACAAGATCATGGGGTTCTTGATGCGTCGGCCAGAACTGTACGATATGGAGACCGCATCGTACCTCGGACCAAAATTTGCTGAAATATATGTCTATGGGGGCGTAAGCAATGTGCTGACGTTTTTCAAGTCGGACGTCGAGAACTCGCTGGCAATGCGTCGGCAGTTTGTGCGAGAAGTTATTGACTTGGAACGCTCCATTGCAGAGGAGGAGGAGGATGACGGTGAGTCGCCTAGCTTCCGGTATACGTACAAGGCTATCAGGGAGTTCAAGCTGGAACGTGAGGCTGAGTTTACGCCATACGTGATGCAGGCGTGCTCAACAATGCCAAAGACCGTGTATGCAGACGCGTCAGCCATTCCTGCCGACGACGTCACGTATCTGAAGATCCCACTTGCGCAAGAGCATATCGTGGTGGTCAACAGCGATGAGGCCTTGTCGCTAGCCACCGACATGCTGACGCGGGATAGCATCACTCGTTTGGGACTCGACGCTGAATGGCGTTTTGACACTCGGGCTGCGGTGCCGTCGAAATGCTCGATCTTGCAGGTTGCTTGCGACGACTATGTGTTCATTTTCGATCTCATTGAGATGGCTCTGGGTGACTTGGAAGAGCTTTTCGAGCAGTTGTTTTCCTCGACAAGGATCGCCAAAATCGGGTTTGCCATTGACGGCGATATCAAGCGCATGCGTTCGTCATTTCCCGAGGTGAAATGCTTCGACACGTTTGCTAATGTGCTGGACTTTTCCTTTGAAACGCTCGAGGCGACCACGTATCTGGCTGACGACTCGGTAAATGGCAGCGGTGACTCTGCCTTGGGAAAGCTACAGTACTGCCACCGCAGACAAAAAGGGCTTAGTACCTACATCAAGCAGGCACTTGGATACCCGCTGTCGAAGCTGCAGCAAAAGAGCGACTGGGAACGTCGTCCGTTGACGCCGCAGCAAGTGGCATATGCTGCGCTGGATGCATATTGTCTACTGATGTTGCAAGACGCTGTTGCGAACAAGTAAACACATGCGCTGGTCATATTCCCGCCCAGCCAGCGCTGGTACAAATGGCAAAGATGAGTCGGACCATGTTCGAAGTTGGAGAGCCAGGATCGTAGTCTGTAGCGGCCACCTCAGAGTCCAAGACACTTTTTCTTGATAACTTCGTGCGCGGCCGTCTCCTAGGCATCATCTACGTAGATTCTAACCGTGCTAAGTGGCGACGCTTACCGCTCCGATGAAAGGCCTAGTGGAAAGACATGATACCTTGCGCCTCACCACGTCTATAGGCAATGATGATACTGATAGTAGATGATTGAGCGTGCGTTGCAGCGATTCAGGTATCCATAGTAAACTTGATCTGGAACTCACGCACTGATCTTGCTACTTGAAGCCTGTCTCGGTCGGCTGAGGTCTCTCCTGCTTCTTGTAAACAAACACGTCAGTAATTAGGCCGTGCGCACAATCCTTTTGCTTGACCCCAAAAGTGTGCTCGACCCAACAGCGAATCCACCCGTTCTTCGGATTCAACAGAACAACCGATCCACCGGTTGAAAGACTCGGGTAGTAGTGCACTTACTAACTTATAGTTTGGCGGAAATCCAGAATGCAGTGTAAGACAGCGCATGACAGGCCGCAGCATTGCCACAGACGTCCGCAACACATTGGGAGCACGACAAGAGAGCGACCTCAGAGGAGAAAAGGTGTGGGTCAGATGTCGGGATGCCGTGTGGCCGCTGAACGTTAGTCAACTGGACAATAACGTATGACCAACGACTTGTGTTGCGTGATTGCGTACGGTGGTGGCAAGCGCCTGGAGTACACATGTTGTTCCCTCATTGACTCCTACTACCACACGGCTATGGTGCAGCCTTCTGTCGCAAAAGCGCGTTTCTCCGACGGCTTTTTGCAAAGCAGGATTGTGCGGTGCTCGCTACAGTGGTGTGCTGTCTGCTTTGATGCAGTACACACCCTTACTGCAGATGAGCACATCAGTACGCCTTTGCACTGTGCGATCTAACTCCGGTATGACAAACGCTGGCCATGTCGTGCTTTTCCCGCAAAGCTCGGCGTAGATCCCTGTTCCGTAACGCACGCTCGAAAGTCATAGAAGCATGTATGAAAGGTACACATGAGCGCACCGTAGGAGCTGCAATTCGAATCACATATTTATATGCTGATTCCACCAGTCCACTTGCACCTGTTGTACGTCGAGTCGTGCGTTAGCAGCATGCCGTCGGTGCGTATCCACCTCCTTCTGATGCAGTACAATCCGACCGAACATGTGAAGGTCCACGTGTGGTTCAACCACACTGCCGTCGACTACGCATCTACCGGTACTCCATCACGAACAACCGTACCCTCCGATGTCGGTAGTACCGATTCTACCTCAGCGTTTCTAACTGACGCCCAGCAATTATCCCATCCCTCACTCCGTTTTACCCGACAAACCCACGTCCAACACCGCTAAATAGGTCTTTCCACAGCGTATCCATCCGTCTTCCGTCCACCGCCGGCACACGACAAAAGCGCACACGCCGACCCAACTTCGCCTTCTCTCTCTCTCTCTCTCTCTCTCTCTCTCTCTCTCGCGCGCGCGGCCATGTCGACGCCAGCGCAAGTGCTACGCGACGTGCAATTCGACAAGCGCCTGACCGACGTCGAAGCGCGTCTCCCGGCCACGCTGGAGCAAGAGGGCTCGCTCGCCAAGCGCAATCAGGCCAAACGCAGGCTCTACCACGACAGCGAACTCCTCCGCATTGAGCTGGAAGAGCGCATGAACGCTCTGGGCATCGAGAGCCAGTGGACGACGGCCCCCGAGATGCAGGAGGCCAATGCCAAGCTGGATGCGGTGCGCAAGCAGCTGAAGCTCGACGTCCTGCCAGCCAGTGCGTCGCTCTTCGAGAAGCTCTACATGTTCGTACGGCTGCTCACGATGATGCTGGTGCTCGTGGGCTGGCTCAGCTGTGTGACCATCATCCTACCGCTCAAGTGGCTCAACCCAGTGCTAAAGAAAATGGGCGTCAAGAAGAACTACCTCCCGATGGACCTGCTATCTTGGGGCACAGCTGCTATGGTGTGCGTCACGGCATGCACCGACGTTCAGGTCGAGGGAGTCGACAACTTGAGGGATCTGCGTGACTCGGTCGTCTGCATGTTCAGGTGCGGGAAATTGGGCACCTGGTGACGGAAACCGATGGCAAGAGTACTGATGGATTGATTGCGTATGTGGGTGGCTCGTCGATCGTTGATGTGCCGCTATTGCTGTTTGGATGTAGCCACTCGTCAAACTTGGATGGGTTCATTGTCAACGGCTCATCGCCCGTTGCGTTCAAGTTTGCGGCAAAGAAGAGTCTCTTTCTGGTGCCTTTTCTGGGCTGGTCGGCTCGGTGGGGCTTTGACTTTGTAGCCATCGATCGCTCCCATCGGTGCGTTGAGTCTGTCTTGGCGCTTGATAGAATGTCTCCTCGATGATGAATGTCTCGTGCGTTGTTTGCTGCTGCAGCTCATCGGCGCTAAAGAGTCTGAAGGAGCTGGCGGTGTCGGTGAATGACCATGGGAACTCTGTCTGCATCTCTCCTGAAGGCACGCGCTCGAAGGATGGTCTGGTGAGTCAAGTGTTCCTGTGCAATCAGTGAGGCTCGTGCGTACCGTAACGCTTGTTTTGCCCTCCACGTTTGCAGCTACAAGAGTTCAAGAAGGGACCGTTTTATCTGCGGGAAGACACGAAGAAGGACGTCGTGCCTTCCGTCGTGTTCGGCGCGTACGAGCTATGGCCTCCTGGCCGCCTCTTCAGCATTCCTGGACACGTACGTAGTTGCATAGTAGCCAACGACGATCCGATCGTTCTTTGTTTTGGCGAACGTGTTGGTCTAATGGGCTGAAACACATTTGATTGTAGACGCTGGTGCGGTACCTGCCGGCGTACAAGACCGACCCAAAGCTGAACCGGAATCAGAACCGTCTCGCTCTGCGTCGCATTTATCTTAAGGCTTTCACGGAAGACGTGCCGGACTCTATTGGCACTCGCGTGAGCACCCCCTTTATCCTGAAGAACATGTTCTACCACTACCTGGCGTGGTCGATCACGTTTCAGGTCACGTCGTGGGCGTTCACAGCGATTCGTCTGGTCTGCTTCTCGTTGGACATCACCTACGCCACGTTCATGCTCTTGTTGCTGGCACTGATGGCCGCGGGCGAAGCCCTCATGTTCTTCACCTGCTGACGCACGCCCGAAGATGGCGTGCACACGGTCAGCTTCACGACACTCGGCCACTTCTACCGTCGTGCCTCACCCACTCGGCATGTGTCGGTCAAATCCGCCATCGCGCTGCGCCACAGGTCGACGTCGTCTATCCCCTGCACCCGCTAATGGACATACATGTTGGTATTTAGGCCCTCCCACTGCTGCCGTTCGTTCCCCCTCCCTCTTGTCATTATATTTGTGTGTCGCTTGTCACTTGGCCGCAACTCTCTTTATCTTTTTGCTCTTCCCGTCCATCAGCTTCCGCTCGCGCTCGGCCAACGTCGCGTACAGCGGCTCTGCAGGCGACCGGATGGACGAATAGGAGGCCAGACGGTGGCGGTCGATCTTCAGCTGCTCTTCGGGCGACCAAGTGGCCGCCACGGGCTCCACGGGTTTCCCCGCCCGCTCGGCCGCCGCCTCCATGCGCTCGCGCTTCCGCTTTCGCACGCCGGCGTTGCGGAACCGCACGGGCGCTGTGCGGGGCTCCCCCCACCCCGTGAGGATATTGCCCTCGAGTAGCGTGTCGCGGAGGAACTTGTCTTCGAACTCAAAGAGCTTACACGACTGGTCGCGCCAGTCGCGCTCCTCCACGTGCGTCTTGGCCTGCAGCGCTCGGAGCTCTGCCGTCAGGTCTTTCATTGTCACGGCCGTCATGTGTGCAAGTAAAGTATTTTTTGTTTCGCTGGTGGATCGAAACGAACTGCGGGGGAACTGTAAAATGACATACTTTTCAGCGTGCGGTCCAGAACAAAGATGACGGGTTACTGCCGTACGAAGGGAAAAGGTAGGGGAATTGTGGATAATCGCCAGGTAAACGCAATATATGGTCTGATTACGCGGTCGTCATGGTCTTTCGTTGCGACGGACAGGCAGAACGTCTATGAAATGCGACGTACGACACTCACTTCGCCCATGTGAGGAGTTCGGTATAACGAGGTGTCGTTGTAGCTTACCGGATAGGCGTTGTGCTCAGGATGACCGTCAACATGTCACCCGGAAGTCCATGGGATATGTGAAGGCGAGTGCAGACCCGTCTCTTTCGAGGCAATAAGGTGACAAATCGCCCACTTTGGCAATGGTGTCAAGCTTTCATGGTACAAATGCGTCACATTGGACACGCACGTTGCACTGTGAGACATTCGGAAGTAAGCGACAACGCCGTTGAGATGCCCATTGAGAGCGACGTCGCTTGTTCCACAGTTATTTGCGTTGTACGCATCTTTCGCTGTGCACACGGCGGAAGATGTAGTCGCGCTTGCAGACGGTGTATTGACGCGTGCATGGCCAAAGATATGACAACATGCCAAGCAGGTTGAAGTAACAGCTTATGTTGCATACCTGTCGTGTCCGGACCACAGCGCGTGCAATTTCGACTTGTTATGTGTAGCAGCTACAACATCATCAGCGTTTGCAGCAAAAAGTCCTCGCACGTGACTGAAGGTAGCGGTCGGATCTTCGTGATGGGATGCTGTGAAGCGACAAGCCCATACACAGTGCCCTACATGCGCTTGACTGTAAATGCCTTTCACTGCTCGTAGAATCCACACTCACACCTGCCTCCCTCCTTTTTCTTTGGTTTATGCATTGAGCATCCGAGATTTGAACCCTGGGAAATGCGCGTACGCTGCCACCACAACTTTAACAGCAACGTAGCGGTCACCAGAGCATTTGGCCAGTTGAAACACATTGCACTTCTTCGACCGGCTCGCACAATGTGAAGTAAATATCTGCCACGATAACTTGCTCTTCTCGAAACCTGACTTTGTGAGATTTTCGTCCTAAGCAGTATGCATCATTCAAGCGCGGCGTTCTGACACACCTTATCCACGTCCATCATGAAGGAATAGCTTTGTGGATGGCGCAATATGTTCGAAAGGGTTAACAGAGCAGAGATGACATCCTTTCGAGCGGTTTTGGCCAAGGATATCGCCAAACTGGCTGCTAAGTACACGCCTTGGGTTTCCTATATGCACCGCGCGTTTGTCGTCCGCTGAACCAGCTTCTTAGAAGTTCCATCTTGATTGCACATTCTTCTGGTCATTTTGTTGTGATATGCAAGCGGTAGCACTAATCTGAAGCAATGGTCGTGCAAGTTTTTATAGGTCACATCAACTAGGCAAAGCGTCTTCATTACTATGGCTGTTGTCTGCTATACACTGGCTGCATTCATTCTACAAAACTTCGTCGATTTGTTTTTGTAACGCTCGCTGCTGAAGACCTGAAGGTTCAGACATGCGTATGTCTATGGTCCAGCAGCTACACAGTAGACAGTCCTCATAAAAGTTTCTAGTCGGCCATGCACCTGCCACTAGACCACAATCATCGAGCGTGAATGTATCGTAGCGATCGCCATATGTAAACGCTATCGAGTGCATTTACGAGTTGTGCACATCAGCGACAAAAACGCTCGTTGACCGGTAAAATAGTAGACTGTACGCCGTTGATGTGCGACGCAGAGAGCGAGCATTCGGGTTCTGGTCTGGATGCGACTGGGAACACAGAAGCCAGTTAGAGTGGTTGTGATGAGAAAGATCGCGCGGACCGTATCGATCACTTATTGCTCTGGAATCGTACCGCACCAAACGTCATTTGTGCATGCAACATCTGAAAAGCTTGGAGGACGCACATTGCCATATTGCCAGACCTTACGCTCTAGCGTTCGTATGCAAGGTGTATGTTCGTGAGCATGAACTCACGCGAGAATACGGGAATGATGCCCCTTTTGTGCAGCCTCTGCACAGATACTTACATTGTAGCAACCACACACGGGTTGACGAAGCTATGAATGCGTGCTCTGGTTGCAACACATTTTACAAACTGACTCACGACAACTGTGGACTGGCTCTGCATAAGGAGCCAGTGTTTGTGGATCATTCACTCATATCTTGCAAGTTGTTTTGTATTTGGATTACCGTTTGCACAAAAACCAACAATCAGTATGAGAAGTGGAGGTGCCTTTGCCTGAACAAGTGTACTTGCTCGCTATAACGGGCTGGCAGCACAAGTATGCCTCGGCAAGATTCAATAACTTCAGTGGTTCCTGCTCGTAGACATTCAGCACGTCTTGTAAGTATTTTGGATTCGTAGCACTTGCAATAAAAAAACTGAAGAGGAGGGTGCGTTCCGCCATTGTTTTCGTTTACACTTCTCCCAGTAAGCATGCTTTAACGAGTTGCACGCGCTTCTTGCAAACGATTTTCCTCTGGTGCAAAAATGGCGATGCCTTACGCAGTCGACGCTTACGCGCATGACCCTTACAGCTCTCTTCTCCGCAAAGACCATCGCTGATAGCAAAGTTTGTCAATGCCAACAAGACAGTTGCATCCACGAAAGCACATTGTATCGTGCTTCAATTGCGATACGGTAACAAAATAGCTCTCTTTGCAATACACGTCAGCAGCTTTTCGACAGGCTAAAAACAGGACTGGAGATGGCAATCACCAGGACGCTCTTGGTCAAAAGTACTTCACAACCCAACTAGGCCAAAGCCAGGTCAATAAGGTGCTCGCCATCGTCGCTGCTATCATCGTCAACGTCGTCGTCATCGTCGTCGTCGTCGTCGTCATCATCGTCATCATCGTCGTCACTAGATTCGCGCTTATTACCATCTTGTGAGCGGTGCTCGATCTCTAAGCTCGCGTCCACAACCTCTTCATCGGCGTCCATGCTTTCTACAGTCTCCACAATATTCGTAGGAGTCAACACTGCCTTGAGAACCGCAGGATTCTTTGATCCTTCCTTTGCAGCCTCTTGCTGTGTCATCAACGCGAAGGGAGGCCGACGCAAACACCGCCGCTTGTTGAACCACCGCCGCAGCTGTGTCATGTTTACATCTACCGTTTGTTTTTTCGCGTCTCGGAGCGGCGGGGTATTTAACTGCTCCAAATAGTTTTCCATCTCTTCTTGCGAGGGTTTGTACTTCTGCTGAAACCATGCCTCGAGTGCCGTCAGCTGATCCATCGAAAATTTCATAGGCCGCAACACGCGTCCTTTTCGTTCCTTTCCGCGAGGTTTGATAGCAGGCTTCGCTTTCTTCTTCGGCGGCTCTCCCGACAGTAGGAGGGAAGAATCATCACCAAAGACTGCGCTTCTGTTCTCTACATCATTCCCCGGTGAATGTCCATACTTCAGACCAATTCTTCCTTTCGCGCTCGACGCCGTGCTGAGTGCTGGGCTTGCTGGTGCGGATAACGGCATGTCTCCATCGGCGTCCGGCTCCACCACAGCGCGTCGATTCATACCCAGACTCTCCAGAAGGGCAATAGTAGTCTTGCGTAGCAGTGTTGGCTTAGTGTATTCCTTCAAAATTAGCTTCAAATCTGCTACGAGGCCCGACTGGATACGCACGTCAGGCTCGACTTTCATAGCACGCAACAAGTCGACCACTTGCTGTAGCCCATTCGTAACAACCGTCGACTTTGACTGTTTCATCAGACTACGCAGCCGGTTTTGCAATGCCATGACTTCCAGTACAGAAGCACGCTTGACCGCGTAAGAATCATCCATGTCCAAGTCCGGCGTGCGCTGGCCCATGACACGGCCGTTGACATTACTTCCTTGATGCTCTGCAGCGGTCGGTACAGAATGTGACGCTGCTATGTAAGACCGGATATTGTCAGGTCTCGTAAACGCGTTCACCGCTGCATCAAACAAATAGCTCTGTGCTCGTACACGGTCGACCTCCTTCACAAGCTCATTGGGATCCACAGAAGCACGCAAGTGAGCAATGCGCTGTTCCAAACGCAAGTCAATCTCCTCCTCGGCAGCTTGGGCATCATGGCCTGCTTCCACCGCCAACTTGACGTACCGCATACGCTCCCGGAAACGACGTCGCTTGAACCAATCGCGCACATGAGCAAGCGATAGACCACCCAAGTAAAACGGGTTCGCATACGGCCGGTAGTTCAGAATCGTGCGCATGAGCGTCAGTTCGTCGAGTAGCGGTCGTGGGTACGAGTAGTACCATTCCTGTAGCTTTTGCACCTGCAATGGCATGCACAACCTGCCAAAAGCTGAGGACGAGCGACCACTTTCCTGTGCAATAGCCGTCGCTGTTGCTGCAGCAGCACTGGCTTGCACGGCTGCTTGTAGTGCCTGGAACGTGCCGCTTTGCAGCGACACTTTCGACACCAAGTTGGCTTCGCCCTGCATGCTCGTGGCCTGAATGAGCTCCGCCATCTCTTTCAACCGGATGATCGCGGTCTCCATTTTGGCCAGCCCGCGGTCCGTCTGGTCTTCCGTCGCTTCGTCCACCGCCTGCTTCGCCACGACTGCAGGGTTGTCCACACCCTTTTGATCGACCGCTGCCACGTCGTCTGGATTGCGCAATGGCAGCATGGCCATTGCCTGGCCGCACAAACAGCCTCCACCTTGGCCCAGTCGCTGGCTCGAGCGCTGGCGGCACTCGACGCGCGTCTCGCTCAAGCTCTTGACCTCGAGCAAGAGCCCGTCGCAGCCCGTGAGCAGCTGCGACGTCTTGGCCGTAATGCTCTTGTTGTACGTCTTGCCCGCGTCCAGCGACTCGCGCACGAGTTTCGCCACGAGCTCGACGGCCGGCGTCACGTCCACGTCCTGCCACGCCGCGTGCTCGAGCTGGTCGTCCTCCGAGTCCTCGTTGTCGCTCACGCCCGCGTCGTCGAGCTCGAGCACTGGCGCATCTTCGGGGACGCGCGGCGGCTCTTTGCAGATAAAGTCCATCTTCATCGCGCTGCTCATAGCTGCCACTGGCGACCACGGGAGGCTTCGGGCGGGCGGGCGCTGCTGGAGCGGTACAGTGTACCACTCACTCGCATGGGTGTCGGCCCCGAGTGTACCCATTTGAACGGTTCGCCAGCGCGTCAAAAGGGGTGGCCGAGTGGCGGCGCGGAACGGATGGCGGGAGCGCTCGAGCACGTGGCCGCGCTCGAAGGACACAGCGAACGCGCGTGGTACGTCGCGTGGCGCTTCGACGGCAAGTTACTGGCGTCGTGCAGCGGCGACCGGACCGTCCGTCTCTGGGCCGCCAATAGCACTGGCGCTTGGACGTGCGCGGGCATTCTGGAAGATGCCCAGGGGCGCACGATACGAGCGTGCGAGTGGTACGTTGTGCTACTGTAGAACCTGGTGCGGTGTTTCTCTGCACGTGTGTTGGCATCGCTGTGTGTGTGTGCGTGTGGGTGGATCGCTGTGTGTGGGAGTCGTCGCAAGATTTGGAGCTCGATTGAACTCGACGTTGACGACCACCTTCATGTGTGGCTACTGAGCAGGTCACCCAATGGTCGCTACTTGGCCTCTGTGAGCTTCGATGCAACGACTGTGATCTGGGAGAAACGGGAGAGCTCGTACGAGGTCGTGGCGAGTCTTGAAGGCCACGAGAGCGAGGTCAAGAGCGTGGCCTGGAGTCCGTCGGGAAGTTACATTGCTACGTGCAGTCGCGACAAGAGTATCTGGATCTGGGAGGCCGATGCCGACACGGACTTTGAGTGTATCTCTGTGCTTCATGGACACACGCAGGACGTCAAATTTGTGACGTGGCACCCGACACAAGACCTCCTTGTGTCGACGAGCTATGATAATACAATTCGTGTGTGGGCTGAGAATGAAGATGATTGGTACTGCAAAGAGACGCTAACTGGCCACGAGGCGACGGTGTGGGGAGTTGCGTTCAACGCGGAGGGTACCGAAATGGCGTCGGTCTCCGATGACAACGACGTCATGCTTTGGCACTATGACCACAACAGTAAGGAAATGGACGAGGACGGAAGGTGCGTTTGTCAACCGTATTGCGAGTCACGGATCTCGCGTGCACAATGTCTAACACGCTTTCTGCCCCAGCAGCTCGAAGCAGTGGCAACGAACCTCCACGCTTTCCAATTGCCACGAGCGCACCGTCTTTAGTGTGGACTGGACCAAGCAGGGCGATTACCTTGTTACGGGTGCTGGCGACAATGCCATCCGCGTGTTCCAACGCAGCCACTCGCCTAGCTGCTTCGACCTCGTACTTGAGCAGAAGCAGGCACACGCAAGCGACATCAATTGCGTGCGATGGAGTCCCGAGCCATGGCAAGTGGACGATCGTGGCAAGAAGTCGCTTTGGCTCGCGTCTGCGGGTGACGACGCGCTCGTGCATATTTGGAGGTTCCACCTGCCTTAAGTGTCAATGTAGCCATCTTGAGGACCGGAGTGTGAAGTAACTGCTAAGTTCCATTTTCCTACCGTGTGGTTTGTTCTTGGCCGTCGTGACCGAACCAAAGCTGACGACGCCGGCGTCGATGGAGCCCGAAGAGCTCCAGGCCGAGCCACGCTGGTCCAGCATTCGCTACGCGCCACACCCTCTTCCTTCGCAGTGGAAGCGCGCGACAGATGAGCGGCTGATGCTGCTGGTAACGCAGTCGACGGCCAGCGGCGAAAGGTTTCCGGTGGGTGTCAACTGTACGTTTGTCCTAAACGAACGCTGCTGCGTGTGTTCGCTCGTGCGTCGACGAGTGTGTTGTTCCAGGCTACTTCATTGAGCAGGTCGTGGCTGCACTGCACTGAAATTGCGTGCATATTTGCATTATGTGGACAGGGCTCGAGGTCTCTCGCGTCGTGCGACGCTCTCCTGTGGACTGTGTAAAGCGCTACGCCGTTTTGCATGAGGCGCAAGAGCGGTATGAGGAACAAGAAGGAGAGGCACAAGGGCTGGAAGGAAAAACGAACGCAACAGCTGATGGTGGAGCGCTAGAGGGAGAGGTGGAAGGCGCTTTCTTGGACAGCGGGGACGAGTTTTTCGAGGAACAGTCGCTGAGCGACTTTGCTACGCCCGTGGCCTCGCCTAAGCTCGATTCGCTGGGTGCATCGAAGGGCTTTATGATGAGCAGGCCCATATCTCCAGTGTCCTCGCCACCGTTTGCAGTCACTCGACCGGATGTAAGTAGACAAACAGAACCCGCTGTTCCGGGAAGGGACCCGTTCCGATGGGAAAGTTTAGCGAATGACCCGAACTACAACGCCCCAATGCTCCATTCTCCACTGAGCTCGCGTCACACCGAAACGCTGCCAAGCCGTTCTGGATCAGTGGATCACGAAGCAAAAGGCTTGTCGTGTGCCTCGTCACCACGATTGTCGTCACGAGGGCTCATGTCGCCGTCCTGTACGCAGGTACAATCTGCTACGTTGCAGTGAGCATGTCCGCCTTCGTCGTTAACGCCCGTCTTTCTTTCTTTCTTTGCTTTGCTTGATTTTGTTAGGGCCATGTCAGCGACGTGAGAGGCGGTCCGAACTATACAGCCTCTGTTCTCACACATGCGTTTAAGGGGCTCGCTATGAGCGCACAGCCTTCAAGTGTAACTCTTACCAGTTCTCCTCGCTTAAGCGATACGATCTCTAACTCAGGTAATGCTGCATTGTTTGCGAACATGCAGCAAACCGTGTTGTGATTTCTGACCTTTTCGTCGTGGTTTGATACTGATAGAGCACCCGTTCTTCAAAGACGAAGGAGAGAATACGTTCGTCCGCCACTCTGCGACGACCAGTGTGAGTAGATTTGGAATAGGATCCAGAGTTGCGGCATCACCATCAAACGACGTAAACGAGATGGGTGTTGGTGCCGGACACCTGCATCGCCGGGTGAACCCGCACCTGGTGCAAATGTCAGCTACGTCCGAGGACAACCTATTCTCCGGGTCAGTGACACAGTCAGCCCTGGAAGATGCCTTTTTGGATATGGCCGGCTCGCGTTTGGACGCTTCGAATGTGCTATTGGGCAGCCGTATGTCGACACCACTCGGTAGTCATGTACACCTGCCTTCTGGACAGCTCCAGGCGAGAAGTACTGACTGTGCGCCAAGGCAGAGCGACGGTAAAGTGGGCAATAGCGGTTAATTATCTTTTGATCCTGGTAGCCTTTACGAACCAGAAGCTTTATCGATGGATGGCACTAGTACATTTCAGCATTATGAGCTACCAAACGAAAATAGTCACGTAGTCCGGTACACTCGGCATCTGTGCGCGCGAGGCTGCACTGCGCAATATGGCAGCTCCCGATTAAAAGGCAAACAAGTTGTTCGTTATCTATGTGAGCTATATTGTCACAAGCAGGATGTGACGTCATTCGATGGCATTCACTGTCTTACATTGCAAACCCAAGGAAAAAAGCTATTGCCAACGAGCTTATGTAAGGTTAGGCCAGACTCATCGGCAGCTACTTCCCAAATGTCTGTAAGCTGCGCACACATGCACGTGATGAACTCAAGTGCGATCAAGTGCACACAACATAACCTTATAGCAAGCACTTTTTGCGCCTACTGACACAAATGAAGCCATATTTAACTGGTGGCATGCGCCTCGGAACCTTGCGTGCGATCTAGTGCTTGGAAGCATGAAGTAAGCATACGGTACCGCCAGTTTCTATTGAGAAAAAGGACTGTATATGGTATCATAACAGAAAGAGAACGAGATTTGGTCTAAACAAAATCACAAAGTAATTTTACAAATACGCGTGCTAACTCCTTGCTCACCACGCACGTTGCACGCGTCTATCGTTGGGTGGATCGGCTACCAAACTGACTTATAGCAGCCAAAGCCTCGAGTGTCTTCAAAAGTAACCTTGATGACATCATCCGCTACGATGGAGCTCACATTGGTATTACATTTAGGGCACACTGAATTTCCCCACAGATTTCTGGCAAATCCTCTCAGATTTCTGTCAATATCCCTTCGGTTTGATGTACACTACATGATTGGCAAATCAATAGGCTACGTATCCACCCATATCGTCTGCAAAACCGGTTCCACTAACCTTCGTCTCCTGCTAAACATATTTGATCAAACTCCTTCTTTCCTATTCATTAGGCAGTTTCTGTAACGGGGCAGCCCGTTACATGGAAGTGTCACTTTAAAGAAACAATGACAATAAAGAATATAAAGTTGAATATTCGTTGAACAAAATCACCGATAGTGGTGATATTGGTGAGGCGACCAAAGGGTCTGCTCATTGGTTGATATCGTTATGATATCAACCCACCAATCACCGCAAGACGCGCGCAATGAGTGGTGACAAGACGTCACCATACGCTCGGTTATATTAGTATAATTGAGTTAAGTCAAATAGAGAGACAGTGGTTAAAAGACTTAATTATATTAATATAACAGTTTTACTTTTCCCTAAGACAGTGATGCCTCTGCATTACCTACCGCTTCCTCGGTTGCCTCGTGTACGCTTGTCGGTGCACGATACCCTTGCGTTAAGTTCACGCAAGGGTGTGCCCCGTTACACCTGGTAGCACTTTGTAGTCCTTCCAGCGACCACCTCCACATCATCCACCATAAACATGTTGAATGATGAGGAGACCTTTGACGCCACGCGTGAAGGGTTTACCCATTTGGGTGACATCGAATGGAGTGCGGAAGAACGAATGAGTTATACCGTAGGCGAGGTATCTATTAGCGCCATGTTGGAGTCCCTAGACAGAGACCAACAACATGCCGCTATAGCCAAGTTCATCCAAAGTGAACTTGTCGCCGAAAGGGAGAAAGTAGCCTTGCTTCACCAGCAAGGCTCTCAACAGGCCGAGCAGTTGAGAGAAATCGGTGCTCAACAGACAGAGCTGTTGAGACAGCAGCAGCAGCAATTCCATGCTGCTGTGGGCGGGACGGCACATGCGCGTCGTCCCGAGGTCATGAAGGTTGACATCTCCAAGTACAGTGGAGTCCCAAAAGACTCCCTGTTACTGTGGTTTGTCGAACTCGACAGAGCCTTAAGGGCTCGTCGCGTCGAAGATGAGCAAATGAAACTCACATTTGCTCAGACCCACTTGGCAGGGCGTGCCAAAACTTGGTCCCTGGGACTCGAGAGTAGCGACCCACATGTGTTTAGGTCGCTAGATGACTTCAAGGCCCGGCTCAGACAAACGTTTGAGCCACCACGCGCTGAGTTCAGAGCTCGTTCAGAGCTTCTGAAACTCAAGCAGGGTAAGCGTGATGTGCACGCTTACGCTCAACATATACGACTCCTCGCGAGTAGTATAATTTCTAACCCAGTTCATGAACACACGTTGATTACGGTGTTCATGCAAGGGCTCGCAGAAGGGCCCGTCAGGAGCCACCTGTTCCGCCTTAAGCTGAATACGCTTGAAGAAGCGATATCAGCCGCGGAACAGGAAGACTTTAGCATGAGACAGGCTCATGCTAGCTCAAACTCTTATCGTCCACCGAGACGACAAGAGATCGGAGGTCCAGAACCAATGGACCTCTGCTATGTTGAGAGCGAGAGACCTTGCTCTTCAAACAACAAGCGATTGCTGAAGTGCAATCGCTGTCAGAAGTTAGGGCACTTCGCATACGAGTGTAGTGCTCCACGCCCAGTACCAAGCAGTACTGAGCGAAATGGACGACCATTCGCCAAGAAGGGAAATGGGCGTGGGATCAGCGCTATGGCGAAGCCGCAACTGCGAGACGGACCATCAAAAAATGGTCGGGGTCAGTAGGGGCGGAGCGCCCTACTGATCCAGCAACCTCAAGAGAATTTGCAAATCTCTTGACGAAAGTTGCTCCAGATACGAAATCATTGTGTGTCTCTGCACCTGGTGATGACGTTTCGCTCATCACCTTGAAGTGGAAGCGACGAATGATTTGTCGCTTCGTGCCCTAGTAGACTGTGGGGCGTCGAACAACTTTGTTCGTCGCCAGTCACTAGAGGGTCGTAGGCTCAAGTTCGTTGAGAGCGACATTCCCCTCACGAGGATGACGGTGCATCTTGAAACAGGCGCATCAATTACCGTTGAGAAACGTGTAGTAGGAATCCACTACACGTTGGAGGGCGAACAGTACGATGATGACTTCATCGTACTGGATCTGGATGACAAATTTGATGTCATCCTGGGAGTACCTTGGCTCAGAAAGTACGAGCCAAGGGTGAGCTGGAAGCATCGATCCGTGAAGATGCCTGCCGCTTGTTCATCAGATGGCCATCATATGAACATCTTGGAGCGTCCACAAGCGTGTAGATGTTCTGTGAGTGAGTGCGATGGCCTCACTTGCGGTACGTTCGTTAGCACGAATGCACAAGATCACAGTGTAGTTGATCACTATACTGTGGAGAAAGCTCCCGGCGGCTGTACAGAAGTACAGGCTGCGCCGAAGGTCCACCACTCGAATAAGTCGATTGGACCGGGACGTGGATGTACGCCTAGCGGGCGACATCCTAGCAAGAGTAAACCGGTTGACCACAAGCGGCAACATGGAAATCCTAGTTCGACTGGAGAGTCTACCGTAGAGGATCGATACCTGACTGTGGTTGCACAGTCACAGCCAGAAGACGTCGAGGGAATAAGTCCCCACGTACTTGAGGAAGGAATTCCTCAATAGTCACTTGCTGAAGGATTAGGCCTTCAGCAACCTGTGAAACGGAGTACCCAGGAAGTAGCCGAGACGTTGAACGTCTTGGTTAATGACAAATCAAGCTTAGGCGCTTATACGCTTGATCTGATTGTGCTTCCGAAGTCAACTTCGGAGATAACTCATTTTCCAACGCTAGAACCGAAACGGTTCTTGCGTGATCTGCGTAGTGGCAAAGTCAAGCAGATCTGCATACTCGTCACAGAGGATGAGTATGTGGCCGATATTCGGTCGGCGACAGTATTTGCTGAGAACGAACGGGTTCTCAGCAGCTCATCGATGGACGAAAGTGTCCTCGATGAGAAGACTCGGATTGAGCGATACGCGTCTCAATCCTGGGAGTCACTTCAGACAAATCCTTTGTATAAGGATTTGATTGAATACTAGGATGTATTCCCTGAATCCGTACCTTGCGAGTTGCCTAAGGACAAAGGCACTCGACACGAGATCGAGCTCAAACCGGGCTCGAAGTACTGTGTCATGAATCAGTGGCCACTGCCTCGTGAACAAGTGATAGCGATCGACAAGTTCTTTGCCGATCGCTTAGCAGCGGGCCATGTGAGGGAATCAACATCCCCTCACAGCTCTCCGACCTTCTGTGTGCGAAAGGCCACAGGAGGGTGGCGGATAGTGCACGCATTCAACAAATTGAATGCTGCAACGGTACCGGCTCAGACACCGATACCGAGGAAGGACGTAATCATAGATGGTATGTCAAAAAGAGTACCATCTTTTCATCCATGGATCTGATGGATGGGTTCTATCAGATCCTCATGCGTGAACGGGACATCCCGTTCACGGCAGTGAGTACCCCCAGCGGTATGTTGTGGGAGTGGCTAGTGATGCCACAGAGGCTGAGTATCGCCCCTGCAACGTTCAACAGATGTGTCATAAATCTGTTGAGACCGGTGCGAGACTTCGCACCGAGTTATTCGACGATGTGTTCGTCCATAGCCGGGCTATGGACGGAAAGACGGAAGTAGAAGTCCACCGAACTCACGTCCGTAAGGTTCTTCAACTTATGCGCAATAATAAGTTGTACGCAAACCTCAAGAAGTGTATATTCGCGGCTAGCGAAATACCACTTCTTGGGTGCATCGTGGGTAAACACGGCGTACGCCCTAATCCCGAAAAGATCAAGGCGATCTCCGACTGGCCAGTGCCAGTCGATGTCAATGGACTTAGGAGGTTCCTTGGACTAGCGGCGTACTTGCACAAGTACTCGCGCAACTACGCCGAGATGACGGTACATCTTTCTTGGTTACTCAAGAAAAATGTCAAGTGGTCATGGAACGCTAACTGTCAGCGCTCCTTTAAACGTATAAAGAAAGGCTTGATGCAATCGCCCATCCTGGCGATTGCCGACCAGGACAGACCATTTCACGTGGTCTGTGACGCCAGCGACTTTGCTATCGGACGTGCGTTGATGCAATACGACACAGACGGCGCAGAGCGCGTCGTCTGTTATCAATCCCGTCAGCTGCAGG